TCTCTCTTTCTCTTTCTTTCTTTCTTTCTTTCTTTCTTTCTTTCTTTCTTTCTTTCTTTCTTTCTTTCTTTCTTTCTTTCTTTCTTTCACAGGGTCTCTATGTAGTTCTAACTATCCTGCAACTCATTAAGTAGACCAGGCTGGTCTCAAACTCACAGAGATCTGCCTGCCCAGGCTGCTCTTTTAAATGACCAAACCAGGGCCCAAAACACCCAGAGCAGACCCAAATATTAAAAGATTTTGCACGAGACAGGCTCTGACTGAAGGTTTGCTGTAAGTCCATGGTAAGAGGGCTGCTCCAAATTAAAATGGCCTCCCTCACCCCCCGCACGCCTATGGAAGTGTGATGTGGATCGAGGGGGTGATAGCTGTGGAGGTACAGTCACTTCTGTTTGTCATTTGTTTGAGGAAGCAGGAGGAACTAGAGTCTAACTTTTGAAGGGCGAAGGACACGGGAACTGGGGACATTGTCCTCGGAGAGAAGACTCAGATCGGCAGAGCAGGAGGAACAGCGTAGTTTTGCCTTGCACCCACCAAGATAACAGGGGGCTGAGAAATAACTCTGCTTGTCAGTTCTATCTCATCACGTGAAGGAGCTCCTCTCCCTCAGGTAGTGAGTTTCCCAGTGCCAAAGATATGCAAAAAGAATGAGAACAGGGTTCCTGGCTGCCGTTTTCAGGTGGCTTTAACACAAATACTAGACCCTACTCATAAAAATTCCTGTTGGATAACTATACTCATGATCATCAACAAAGCTGAGACCCACAGTTCCTCTCTTTTAAGTTTCACTTTAGAAAATAAGTGATGAACCGGGTGCGGTGCCGCTCACCTTTAATCCCAGCACTTAGAGAGGCGGAGGCTGGTAGATCTCTGTGAGTTTGAGGCCAGCCTGGTCCTACAGAGAGTGTCCAGGACAGCCAAGGCTACACAGAGAAACCCTGTCTTGGCGGGGGAAGGGGGAAGTGATGAAACCGGGACTGACAATCCATGTAGACTTTTAAGAAAGATAATGTCATTCTTTTAGAAAGTTTTTATTCTTATTTTATGGGTATAGGTGTTTTGTCTGCATGTATGTCTGTGCGCCATGTGCCTGAAGAGGCCAGAGGAAGGAGTTACAGAGAGCTGCCATGTGGGTGCTGGGAAACGGAACTCCGGTTTTCTGGAAGAGCAGCCAGAGCTCATAACCCCACTGAGCCATGTCTCCAGCTCCCCACTTCTTAAGGAGCCTCGTACATAATGGGATGGTCCCTGAACATTTTATGTTGCCAAGGATGACTTTGACCTTCTGTTTCTGTCTTCGCCTTTAGGTGCCGGGAGGACGGGCCCTACCATGCCTGGTTGATGTAGTGCTGGGCGTCGAACTCAAGATTTTGTATATGCTAGGCAAGCACTTTGCCAACTGATCTGTACCCTTAACTCCCTGCTCTCTTTCTTTGACAGGGTCTCACACTGTAGCCGAGGCCTATATGGCTGCAAAGTTGCCACAATCCACCTGCCTGCCTCGTCTTCCTGAGCGTTGGGACTGCAGACATGAGACATAGATGCCTCTTGTCTCTGTATGGTGAATGGCTCCTTTCCCCTTCCTGCAAGGTTGTCTTTCGGTTGGGTAAAATGAAGCAGGCCACTGGAGAGGCCCTTTGACAATCTGTATGACAATTCCTCTCATACTCGTATTGTTAGAGGATGTGTCTTGGATGTTGGGAGATAAAAAAACAAAAAACAAAAACCAAAAAACAACAAAAACCCATCTAAACAACTAAAAAGAGTGCAGCTTTCTTTTTTTCATGAAGTCATATTCAATCTATTGAATCCATCAGTGGTGACCGTCCACCTTGGACAGTCCCTCCCCGATCTGAAACAGGATGGAGAAAGGCTATTAAACTGCATTTAACAAATTCAGAACGGCAGGCTCTTGGCTAGGGGAATGGATTCCACTTAGGAGAAGCGGTTCTTTCTCAAAGGAGGCCAGTTTGCCTGGAGAAGAGAACTTGGAGGGGCTTTTGTTCTTAGGGGACTGCATCTGGATCTGAATGTGTCTCTATTCAAAAGGAGACTTCTCATAATAGACCTATCCCCAAACACTCTAGGACAAGGACTGGCAAGCTTTTCAACAGGAGAAACACTTGGCTCCGCTGGAGGCTGGGAGGGACCCTGGTCCCTGCTGGCAAACTTGTGGGCTTTGCAGGCCAGTGGAGGACTCTTGGGCCTGGCTCCAGTCGTCTTCCTACTAAAAGAAGGTGTGCACCTCCTTTCCCTGCTGCCCCTCCTGGAAGCTGGGGGCCCGAATTCATGTGCAATCCCCATGTGAGTTTTTCTGCTAAAGCTGCCAAACGAGTGGACCATGAAAGGCATTTCAGGGGCGAGTGGACCAAGGCCAGCTTGCCTCCCTGCAGCTTCTGTGCAAAGGGAGAGGCGGGGTGGCCACCTGCAGACAGGGAGAGTGGGGCAGCTAGTGGGCGCCGGGCTCCACTGTGACCCAAGGAGAAATTGTGCAACCTTGGTTGGTCCCTGAGGCCTTTCCTGCAGCGGAGAGCTGGAGCCTACGCCCTGACATCAGAGGTGACACAGTTTATTGCAGTCATAGCAGGTCATGACTCCGCTGAGGACATGCTGCTGCCTTCTCTGCGGCTGGGTTGTGTGGGTGTGTCGCCACAGCAAGGCACTCTGGCTCCCCAACATTCTCATTTCTTCACATCCTCAGTGGGGAGGGGCCCAGAGCCAGGAAAGACTTTACTAGTTACCGGTGACACAGCCAGCCTTCACCTGGTGGATGGCCCTCAGCGTCCCCTCCTGGTGACTGCTGGGAGTCTAGGGAGATGGGTAGTCTGAACCAAAGGAAGCCAGTCCCTCCTACAGTCTGAGCTTCACTTTTCCAGGTGGTCTTTTGATACATGAAGGGATCAAACCAGGGCGGCCTGTCCCCTGTACCTTAGAAAGCAAAACTTCATGGACCTTAAGCAGCTAGGGATTTTTGTTTGTTTGGTTGGTTTTTGTTTTTTCGAGACAGGGTTTCTCTGTGTTGCCTTGGTTGTCCTGGACTTGCTTTGTATACCAGGCTGGCCTTGAACTCACAGAGCCTCTGCCTCCCAAATGCTGGGATTAAAGGCGTGTGCCACCACTGCCCTGCTGCAGTTTTGGATCTTCAGGCTGGCCATCCTGAGAGAACAACTTGGAAGGAATATCTATGCCTAGGACCGGCATATCTATATCTAGATATAGATATCTATATCTAGGACCGGAGACTGTGAGGATGAGCATGGACCTGCGGTGGGCGGAGGAGGACTCCTGGGGAGGGATGCACACGGGAGGGGTTGCAGGTCCCGTGAGGATGGAGAGCACGGGCCTGAAGGACTTTTTTGGATCCGGATGCCTGTTTCCTCCTGAGGCATGAGTGTTACAACTAAGCTTGGCACTGGTTGCCAAGACTTGGGCATCAATTCTCCCCAGACACTTGCCTGGGAGAGTGGATGTGTTCAGCTCCTGTCCTTCACAGCAGCAGGCAAAGGTCCTGCAAACAGCCCTTCTCTATGAAAGCAAGAGGGCCTCAGGGAGGCCAGAGGCAGACATACTCAGCTGGAGGCCCCGGGTCTGGAGCGGTGAGATGGTCCCGAGACTGTCTGAAGGTGCCATGTAGGAGGGACCTTGGGGGTCCAGGATTGGGAGGCTTCCAAGGTTCTGGGCAGCTGTGACCCTAGGGGCTGGGAGGTGAGAAAGGGCATGGGGAGCATCTGGGGCCTAGCATCTTTGTCACCCTAATATTGCTTAGCTGGTATACAACCTTCCTCCTTTCAGCATCCATCATCTCTGCACACTTCCTGGCCCAGTGATAGACCATGCTGCTCCCCTCCATGCTTCCACTGTGCTCCCCGCTGTGCTCTCTCTCTCCCTCCCTGTTCCCTTCACTGTACTCTGTACTTCACTCCATTCCCTGTGTTCACTGCTGTGCTCCCGCATACTGCCTTCAGTGCTCCCACTGTGCTCTCCTTCCACCTCTCTTCCAGCATCCCTTCACATGTCCCAGGGCCATCTTTCTTAGATCCTCTGGTGATGTCATCACCTCTGTCCTCCCTGGTGCTCAAGGGACATTGCAAAACTTGAAGTATCCCAGGCAGGGCCCACGTCATACTTGGCCTGTTCATCTTGGCTTTAGAAAGGATCCAGCCTCCTCACATGTTCCTCCTCAGCTCTCAGGGCTCTCCACCCTCTGGGGGTATGAGGACATCTGCTTACTCGGGGATCCTGGCAGTTGGGGTACAGGGGCTCAGGGAGGGAACAGAGAGCTTCACTGTGGAGGGTGTGCAAGAAAATTGCTATCAGAATATGTAAACTAGAGCTGCTGGGCCAAGGCGGGAAGTGAGGGAAAAAGGGGAGAGGCGAGATGGAGGAGAGAGGGAGAAAGGGAAGAGGAGAAAACAGAAGGGGGAAGGAGGGAGGGAGGAGGAAAAAAGATGGAGAAAGGAAGAGGAGACAAGAGGAGAATGCCCTGGGGCTGGTTCTCGCCTTTCTGTCTCACCCGCTCAAACTTCAGTGAGTCCTAGGGGTTCCTTTGAGGGATGCTGGGAGTTCCCCCTGAGACAGCTGCTCAACTTGGAGTGCATGAAGGCCAGGCTGTTCCTGCCTGGAGGGCTGAGGGTCTGAGGTGCTAGGGGAGTAGCCTTGGGTCTGCCAGGCAGGGCTGGAAGTTCTGGAATGTGTGAATAGACTCAAGAATTAGGAGGACACCCCTGTCTATCCTCTCTCGGAGATCAGGTACCCCAGCTCTGTCTCCTTTATGCTCTCTCCAGGAGCTGGACCTGGGTGAAAACACCTTGCCCTGACTTCATTTAGTCCTCAGACCAGAGTTCTTTGCAGTTCTTAGAGAAACCTACTCCTACCCCAGAACATGGGGCTAAGGGTCAGAGGTTGCCGTTTTTCCTTAGCCCCAGCTCCATATCCCCAGTGTTTCCCTAGGCCTTGACTCCTCAGTGTAGTGAGCTTCCTGGATGAACCAAAGCCAGTCGGGACCCCAGGCCAAGGTTAGACCCAGGAAGCACCAGGGGTTGAGGGTTGGGGTAGCCTGGGGTAGGAGGACCACAGACCACCTCCCAGATTCTAGAATGGAAAGGCTTGTAGTGTGTACTCACCCATGGCAATGGTTGGGAGCTCCCCATACTTTGCAGCCACTTGCTCTCGCTGGCCCTCACTTACAGACCCTTAAAGCTTCTGCCTGCTGCTGGACTTTCAGCTGATGCCAACCACCAGCCATCTTAGTGTTATCCGTGCCCAGTGCTGCATAGGGTCCTTATTTTGGCTGATTTATGATTCTCATCTTGATGGAGAGGCGTTTCCAAGAACACATGGCTGGATAGTGCCAGAGCTTGGATCCGAACCCACGAAGATTGTTTTTAAAAAATGATTAAAACAGAATTTCTTTAAATACTTATATTTAAAAAAACTTTGTTTTTATTTCATGTGCAGCGGTGTTTTGCCTGCATGTATGTCTGTGTGAGGGTGTTGGAGCCTCTGGAAGTGGAGCTACAGACAGGTGTGAGCTGCCATGTGGGTGCTGCAAATTGGTCTTCCCCTAGAAGAGCAGCCAGTACTCTTAACTGCTGAGCCATCTCTTCAGCCCAGATTTACCTTAAAATTATATGTGTCCGTGTGAGTCTGTATGTGTATGAGCATGTGAGTGCAGGTGCCTGTTGAGACCAGAAGAGGGCGCTGGATCCCCTGGAACTAAAGTGACCGGGGGATGTGAGCTGCTGTATGTCATGCTGGGAACATAACTCAGATCCTCTGTAAGAGCAGCCAGTGCTTTTAATCACTGAGCCATCTATCCAGCCTTAGTTACAATAAAACTTTAGTAAATGTATCCGAGCTACAAGAATCACGTCTTGGAACGGGACTCCCCACACTTCAAACCTTCTCATGGCCTCTCCTTTGCTTTTAGCTCAGAAACTTGAATGGCCAGGGAAAAGAGAGGCAGGAGGGTACCAGAAGGATGGGAGTAGCAAAAGCTAGCAGTTGTTAAGCACCTATTGCATACACAGTTGTTTTAAGGGCCAATGGGATGGCTCAGCAGATAGAGGTGCTTAAAGGTGTTTGGCACACAAGCCTGATGACCTGGGTTCAGGTCCCCGGATCTCACAGTGGAAGGAGAGAACAAGCTCCCCAAAGTTGTCCTCTGATGTTGACACACATGGTGTACCTGTGCAGGTTCACACACACACGCTCTCTTTTTTTAAAAAAAGATTTATTTATTTTATGTGTATGAGTGCTCTATCTGCATGTACACCTGTATGCCAGAAGAGGGCATCAGATCCCAGTATAGATGGTTGTGGTCATGCGCTACCATGTAGTTGCTGGGAATTGAACTCAGGACCTCTACAAGAGCAGCCAGTGCTCTTAACCTCTGAGCCACCTCTCCAGTGTTCCCCCCTCCAAGCCAACATACTCTCTTTCTAAAACAAAACAAAACAAAATTCTGAAGTTGTTTTAAATGTTTTCAGTCTATTTAGTCTCTCTCTCTCTTTCTGCCTCTCCCTCGCTCCCTGTCTTTCTGTCTCTCTCTCTCTGTCTGTCTCTCGCTCTTTCCCTGTGTGTGTTTGCTATGGTGCATAGGTGGTGCAATCTTGGGAACTGGCTCTTTGACTTTCACCTGGCTTGAGATGTGATCCTTTGTTGGCTACTTTGTAGGCAAGGCTCACTGGCCCACCCACTTCTGGTGAGTCTTTGTCTTCCACCTCACTGTTGGAGTGCTGGGATTAAAGGCAGACACCATCGTATCCCACTTTATGTGGGTTCTGGGGATTTGAACTTAGATCTTCATGCTTTCGAAACAGGTACATTACCCACTGGGCCATCTCCTCAGCCCATTTCCAAATGATTTAACCCTTACAACAACCCACTTGACTAAGGACTACCATTATTCCCATTTTGAAAATGGCAAAGCAGAGGCCACTGCCTTTCAGCAACCCCTGATGATGTAGCTGGTAAATGATAGAGCTGAGCCCAGTTA